AATCAGCTCCACACTGCTGGCTCCCATATATTTCCCTAACTGTACCCCTCCTTTGTCTTCAGGTCTTTGACTAAGAGGTCCCATGCTCACCTATAACTCAGTGCCACCCATGACTCAATAATACATCATACTCTCTGCCAAATCAGGACCCTTTTCCAACTTTCTTATTTCTGACGGTGGGGTAACACTCCTTCAGTCCTCCATGTGAAAAATGTCAAGTATTTAAGTATTTCCTTAAATCACTCTGTCTCAGTCATACTTATAATTTCTTCAAAACATATCCCAGATATACTGGGCTTGTGTCATTTCCATCATCACTTCACACATGGATTACTGCACTACCTTCATAGGTAGCAGCTATTAGTGTTGTATGTAGCAGCCATGTTAATTTTCGAAAAAAATTTTTTATGACTTCTGCTTAAAATCTTCAAAGACCACACTTTATCTCCTATTACCTCCTGACTAAAATCCAACGTCATCCTTTCTCCTTACTGCCCTTTTGCCCCCTCACCCCCATATTATACCCCATCTCCAGACTCATTACACCCCTCCCTATCTTTACTTATGAAATCTCCCATCCTTTCCATTTCAATGAAGCCTTAAGTAATAATCACAACCTACACCGCTTTTCCTTTCTCTGAATTTTTAAAGCCAGTGGAATGCAGGCTCTTGGGAGAGGGCTGGCAGAAAAAAGCCCTGATTTGAGGTGTTTGCCGATTACCTTCACCATAGCAGACTTCAAGCTACCAATGTGACATCACTGATTGTGAAATTGGGAAGAGATGTGCACAAAGCCACTAGGAAATGGCTCCAGGACACCACCAACTTGAAAACCTGTTCTGTAATCGAAAACTTTATGTCATGTATAATCTCTCCAGGTGTACTATGTAAGTACATTTGTTCATCACAATAAACTCCAGCCCTAGGCGTGGCAGTCCACTCATTTTAGAGCTTTCATAGCGTACAGGGCACAAAGTGTGTGCTTAATAAAAACCTGTTGGCAAGACCTGGAGGAGAGATATGCAAAGCCGAAGACTGGAGCTGGAAAAATGGGCATGTACTCATTTAGGGTTGGTTAGCAAGAACAAACAAAAAGAACAATAAATGTAGGAAATAAAATCAGAATGGGACCCAGAAGATATTGGTTATGTCCCACCTTTGTACTCATGTGACCCCTGGCAAGTCAATTTACTTCTCGGGCCTTAAGTTCCTTCATCTTTAAAGTTAGGGGACTGGACTACAGGACTTCTAACTTGATTGAAATGCTCTGCAAAGTGGGTTAAACTGACAAGGAGGCAGACGGTGGTCCATTGCATTGGTATAAAAGTGATAATAAATTCATTTTAAAATCCACTAACAAGTCAAAGGCGTATAGGACAGTAACTTTTCTAAGGTGTGAAGAAACATTCTTATAAGGCCCTTCCATTCCTCTGACCTAGTAATTATTCTGTAGAAAGATACAATGTCCTAAAAGTTATATCTATTTTATTCTACTTCTGGAAAAGAGACAGCAAGTTCTGAGATACTTCTGCAGCATGTTCCATGATACTTCCTAATGTCTCTCATCCAAAAAAAATATCTATTACCTTGTCTACTGTGAGCTGGACGCTGGTAAGTGCTGAAGATTTAGTAAAAATAAAACAGTCTTTACCATCATGAAACCCATACTAGTGTGGGTCAGTAGCTATTTAGTTCCAAATCATCTGTATCAATACTTTTAAAGAGTACAAATTGATCTGAATAATGGATGCAAGCTAAGGACTCTCCATAAATAGGTATGTAAACATAAACATTTGAATAAAATTATATAATTCCAGAGGTTCTCAGGACCTCTCATCTGTGAAGTGGTCCAAGAATTGCAAGTTAACCCTGACCTATATCTTCAAAACAACAAATAAATTCAAGCTCATAAAAGCTCATATTCTGTTTGATAAGGGAGTACAGCAAAGATTTCCAACAGAAACAATTAAAAATAAAGGGCCATTGTTTAAAGTATTAAGCTTTGGCTAATTGAAATTTCACTCACCTAGAGTATCTTATTCCAAGTAATTTTCCAGATAAGTAAGGTATACAGTTGTCCCTTGGTATCTGAGGGGCATTGGTTCCAGGACCCCCTCAGATACCAAACTCCAAGGAGTTATATAAAACTAGAGGCCCGGTGCATGAGATTTGTGCACTTGGGGGTGGGGGTGGGGAGTGTTCCTCAGCCCAGCCTGCACCCTCTTGCAGTCCGGGAGCCCTAGGGGGATGTCTGACTGACAGCTTAGGCCCGCTCCCCACAGACATCAGTCAGACATCCTTAGTGCTGCCACGGAGGTGGGAGTGGCTCCCGCCACCACAGCTGCGCTCACCAGCCGTGAGCCTGGCTTCTGGCTGAGTGGCACTCCCCATGTGGGAGTGCACTGACAACCAGGGGGCAGCTCCTGCATTGAGCGTCTGCCCCCTGGTGGTCAGTGCATGTCATAGTGACCGGTCATTCAGCCATTAGGTCGATTTGCATATTAGCCTTTTATTATATAGGCTAGCATAGTATCTGCATATAACCTATGCACATCTTCCCAAATGCTTTATAGCTTCTAGAATATTTATAAAACCTATTGCAAGGTAAATGCTATGCAAATAGCTATTATACTGTATTGTTTAGGAAATAATGATAAGAAAAAAAGTGTATATGTTCAGTAGAGTTGCAACCATCATAGACCAAATTGCATAATTCATATCAGCAACAAGGTAACTTTTTTTTTTAAAGTATTTTTGATTGGTGCTTGGTTGAATCCTTGGATAGGAGGACATGGTATACATTACTTGGTTCAGGATGCTTGTTACATCAGTCTTACTTGAAAACCCAATTGCATATGGATGTGTGCTTCCTTTTCTTAAGTAATTCTGCATTTCATGACTCATTGCACATCAAAGAGATCCAATTAACCATGACAAATACATACACACACATTGTGAATAGGCAGCTTGAACAAGGCAAAGAGCACAAGTTGGAATTAGAGAGCAGGCTCCTGTCCTGGCTCTAACATTGTGAAGGGAAGTGATCTTGGACAAGTCATTAGCCCTCTGACCTACGTTTCTTCATTTGTAAAATGTAAAGGGAATGATAAAACTCACCTAAGAAGACTATGAAAAATCAGTCAAATAGAATAACGTATGTGAATATATTCGGCTATAAAATGGCTCCTAATAAGTACAAGTTCTACTGGTTCCCCGAGAAGGCATTGCCCATTCTACAAATTTCTACTAGGAAAACAAACTGCAGATCCTGCATTTACATAGCAGTAGAAGAAGTTCAAAGCACTTAATTGTAGAATTGCTTTTTTTAAAACAATCCAGCCCTCATTTTAAGAAAACTGTGAGACCCTAACTCCGTTGCCTAATCAGGCACTAAGTGGGTAGGAAACTCCAGACTACAGGTTTTCTCTGACAGCAAGGATCCACTCGAGATGGGGGACGGGGGAGACTCAAGACTCAAGGAGAGTAACGGAGGGAAGGGAGAGGTTAGCCTGAGAAGCGTGGAATGAATCAGGCAACCAGGGAGTTCTGGGGGTGGCGGGTGAATTGAGTTCCGCGGAGGCTGGTGACAGGAGGTGGGAAGACAGGGCGAACGGGGCTCATAAAGTTGGTGGGAGCTGTGGATGGAGAGCCAGGCTGCGAGCGTCACACAGGCCAGCCCCCAGGGCCGGCTCAGCCTTGCTCGCTCAGCCCTGGCTCGCTCCCACTGTGACTACCGTGCGGGTAGAATTCCGAGCAACCGGAGGGGAGTGCGTGATGGCACCAAACCACCACCAGGCCTGGGACGGCTGCAGGATTCCTCCAACCCCAGGGGCCAAGCTGGCTTCCCGCCCTCCCTCAGCCCGTCCCGCGTCTCACCCGCCGCCAGGCGCAGGCCGCGGAGGCTCCCCATGGCCGCCTACTCCGCCGACCGGCACGGCGCCTCGGGGAAGGCGGAGGCGCTGGAGCATTCAATGTCACTGAGCGCCGCTACGAGGACTCAGGCGGCGACGGCGGGCGGGGCGTGTGCGACGTAAGGGCGGAGCGAGCGGGTCGTGCGTGACGCAGCAGGTCTGTGGGCGGGGCTTACGGGCGGGACCTGGGTGACGCTCGGGGCGTGGGTGACGTGCGGAATGTGCGAGTGGCGCGTCCGGCGGGTCCCACCTGGCGTAGCGTCCTCCACGCGTCCTTAAAATATTCTTGTAGAGCATGGGCATAACGGGACTTGGCAATATTATTCTTTGCATCTTAAGAAATTTAAGAAATTACTCTTTTAAAATAGAGGGAAAGTACTGTGCTCATTCATTGCGGAACTTTTGCCAACTGTAGACTCCCGACATCACGCTGCCTCGGTAAATCAGCATTTCAGTACATTTGAGTCACGCCTTTATCAAAAACACGTAGCTGGGGCTCAGTGGCCCCCACACCCTGTAGGCTTTGGGAGTATCAGGCTAATTGAAAAGTTAGCATGTTTATTTCCTACTTATTTACCTATTTTTATGAAATCAAACATTTACACACCTGACACCTGTCCAACCCTTATGCATTGTCAGAAATGCCTTTTCTTGACATTTCTTAGTGATCCCAATTCTTAACAATCAAAGGCCCCTCATCTCTAGGGACGGGAGACAGATATTGGAGTGGGAGGGTTAAGAAAAACCACTTCTACTTCAGGTTTCTTCCTCGAAGGATCTGGTTGTTGAGACTAGGAAATCGTTTCCCTTTTTATAAGAAGATGGGATTAGGGTAAAACAATCCCTTCAAGTTCTGACATTCTTTGGTCCATGCATAGGGGTCATTTCTAGGAGGACATGACCAAGTTGCGATGAAAGTCAGGTGTCAAAGGGGCAGGAGTGAAAGGGACTGCAAAGTTCCAGGTTGCGAAGTGAAAGAGGACCAGGGAAAAGACAAGAGCTATTTTATCGCCGATTTCCCTCGAAATATTTTGTCAGGCGCTGCCGCGGGCACCTTTGCTCCGCGGTGATTGGCTCCCGGCAGGGGCCTCGCGTTTGTCCAATATGGCGGCGCCCAGTGGCGGTGTGAACTGTGAAGAGTTCGCCGAGTTCCAGGTGATGGGGTTTTTCCCAGAGGCTGGTGTGTCCTTTCTTTTATCCCCGGGCCCTGTACCCTTCTCTGGCCTAGGAGGGAATGCGGACAAGTTATGGAAGAAGCGGGCAATTCGAGGCTCCTTTTTCGAGCCATTGGAGGTCATGGGGGCGCGGGGTTGGCCTTAGAGAGCCAGGCTACTCCTTGGGGGTCATGGTTCTCTCTGCGCCGCCCAGGCCCTGAGTAACCGCACGGGACGCTCCGGGTGGCTGCGCGGTGGTAAAGCCGAGCTCGGGCCGGTGGGTAGCGATTGTAACAATCGTTTAGCCATCCATCGAAATCTGTACCTAGCCTGTGCCATTCTCGTATTGTAAGTTGAGCATTTGTAGGCGATTAAAAAAAAAGTGAACGAGAGCTTACTCGTTTGATAAATCAACTTGGCGCAAGTTTTATTGTTTTGTTGGGGTATAACATTCGGAGTCTTGGAAGAGCGATTAATTCTAGTACCTGCCCTGGCCTTTCTAAGCATTAGAGAGAATGTAACATTTAAGAAAAACGCTGTATCTTTTATACAAGCACCAGAGGTCTAGGGTTAAATATTAACCCGTGAATTAACAGGGGTTTGGATTTTGACCAAGTTGCAATGAAAGTTATCTGTTCCACTGTAGGCACAAATGTGCTGCTGTCTAGATTACAAATGTATTTTTTTAAAAATATTTTTTCTTGATTTCAGAGAGAGAGAGATGGAAATATCGATGATGTTAGAATCATTGATCGGCTGCCTCCTGCACGCCCCCCACTGGGGATCAAGCCTGCCACTCAGGCATGTGCCCTTCCCAGAATGGAACCTAGGACCCCTCAGTCTGCAGGTCCACGCCCTATCCACTGAGCTAAACCAGCTAGAGCTACAAATGTATTTTTAACTAAAGGTATTGAAAAATTATTTCACATGTCATTGACCTATCTGTAGTCAGCTTTGTGCTTTGAGCCATTTTGTAGGGAGTGGTATTCTTGAAGATAACCCCAACAGACCGAATTCTTTGACAAACCATTTGGCCAAAGGACTTTATATGGGGTCTTTTTTATCTAAAGTCATTACTTGCATCCTCTTCACCACTTCAGCTGCTTTTCAGAATAGCTCAACACTGCAGTTGACTTCAAATATGATTCATGTGCCCAACAAATGCAAACATTTGTAAAAACCTTAAGTAGGAAAAAAAAAAAAAGACGAATTCTAAAGTATATGGACCGTTTAACACGTTGAGCGCCAAGCCTGTTTTGTCTTCCTTTCCGATTTCACCGATATGCTGGCGGCACCAGTGACTGACTGTCCGGTCGGAAAGTATAGTATCAGTCACCGGTGACTGACGTGGCACTTAACGTGTTAAGGTTTACAGCATTTGTCGCCTTGGTCTTGTCACATTAGTACTGTGATTTAACTTGAGTCAATACACTCAGATAATTGTGCAATGATAGTTTTAAGGTTTATGAGAAAGAGTCTTGGTTAGTGAGTTAGATGTTCTGGGTTCTAGTACTGCTTCTGCTATTAGCTTTGGGACCTTGGGCTAATCACTTCTTTGGGAATTAACTTTTGAATCTGTAAAATAAGATTATGTTAAGTAATATTTAAAACTTATTTCATCTCTATAATGTTATTTGAATCTCTCAAACCAAATTTCAGAGGATCTCTTTGCTGTTAAAACACTGATTTTCCTTTTGGAAGGTCAGATAAACTGTTGTAAGTGGGGCAAAAGCTAAACTGTCGTGCAGAGCCATTCCATTCACAGAGAAAAAATAAAATAAAATAAGTCTAATTAGTGATACCTAGGGGAAGTTTCTAGATACTTTCTCTAGGACTTTTCCAAGTGCATGGTTTATAATGGAGAATATCCTGGGCTGAAAGTCAGAAGAACTGCTTTCCCAGAGCTGGTCTTGACACATCATTTAACCTCATTGTAAATAAGAATAACATTTGTCCCTATTGCCTCGGCATACAATAACATAAGGGAAGGTGCTGTGAAATTATAAAGCTTTAGTATAGCATTGAGGTTTAGATGAATTTAACTGGCATACTCACAAATTATTAAGCAGTTTAAATTTTTTAAAGCTATGGAACTATTACATTTTCTGTGTGAGTATCCTAAATCTGAAAAGCACTGCACTAAATACTTTTGAAGAGAAAAAAGTCACGTATATTTTTTGTGTGTTTCTTTTGATATTTTTCCTTTTCTTTTTTCTTTCTTATTTTCTTGTATGTATTTTTGTTCTTGTTAATTGTAAATCATTTTTTTTCATTGATTTTTTTAGAGAGAGTGGAAGGGAAGGAGGGGGAGAGAGATAGAAACATCCATGTGAGAGAGATACAGCAATTGGTTTGCCTCCCTCACAAGCCCCGAATCAAACCCGAGACCCTTTTGGTTCTTGGGGGTAATGCTCTAACCACTATAAAGATTAGTTGTATTTTTTTCAGAATTTTATTATGAAAATATTCAAACACTACAAAAAGTTGAAAGAATTGTACAGTGAACACTGGTACCTACCATCTAGATTCTTTAACCAGTGATTTGCTGTACAGTGGGGCCTTGACTTACGAGTGTCCCAACTAACGAGTTTTTTGAGATACCAGCTGTCTCCCGGCTGATTTTTTGCATTGAGTTGATAGAGTAATTTGAGTTAACGAGCTCCTTAACGAGCTTAGTCTCGGAACGAATTAAACTCGTAAGTCAAGGCCCCACTGTATTTATCAAATAGCAATCTCTACCCATCAATCCATCTTTTAAAAAATTATATATTTTTATTGATTTCAGAGAGGGAGAGGGAGATAGAAACATCAATGAGAGAGAATCATTGATCGGCTGCCTCCTGCACGCCCCCTACTGGAGATCAAGTCTGTAACCCGGACATGTACCCTTGACGGGAATCGAACCCAGGACCCTTCAATCTGCAGGCCGATGCTTTAGCCACTGAGCTAAACCAGCTACGGCTGTTAAATGAGTTTTGACAGAAAGTTTCTTCTGTCAGATGCCCCGTCTAGTCAATCCTTGCCCCATCCTTCTTTCCTCTGACAACTAGTGTTCTGATTTTTTTTCTGTATAGGTGCATGCTTTATGTATTTATATATTTTCATTGAGTTGAGAGAGAGGAAAACATTGATTTTGTTGTTCTACTTATTCATGCATTCATTGGTTGATTCTTATATGTGCCCTGACCAGGGATTGAACCCAAAATCTTGGCTCATTGGGCTGACACTCTAACCAGCTAAGCTACCTGGCCAGGATATAGATGTAAAGTTTAAGAGTTTTTAAAGTGTTTTAAATTTTTACAATTCTTATTTTTTATTATAAAAGTTGGACTTTGCACTCCTGGGAAATATCCTATTTTCAAAATGAAATGAAATCCAGAAAAGAGTCCGGCCTGCATAGCTCACTGGTTGAGCATCAACCTATGAACCAGGAGGTCATAGTTCCATTCCCAGTCAGGACATATGCCTGTGTTGCAGGCTTGATCCCCAGTGTGGGGCATGCAGGAGGCAGCCAATCAGTGATTCATCATTGATGTTTCTATCTCTTTCTCCCTCTCCCTTCCTCTCTGAAATAATTAAAAAATACATATTTTAAAAAATCCAGAAAAGAGCGTTTAAAATTGAATGTCTGGAATCCCATTTTAACATTCAGCAACAATTTATTGAATATTGTATTAGTCTGCTAGGGCTGCCACGATAGATACCACAAATGGTGGCTTAAATACAACAGAAATGTATTTTTTCACAGTTCTGGAAGCTAGAAGTCCAAGATCAAAGTCCTGTCAAGATTGGTTTCTGGTGAGCCTCTCTTCCTGACTTGCTGATTGCTGCCTTCTCACTGCATTCATTCTCTCATGGCCTCTTTGGGCTTGTAGAGGGAGAAAAATCTTTGGTTTCGCTTTCTCACAAGGACACCAGTTTTATGGGATTAGGACCCTATCTTACTTCCCTAAAGGCCTTATCTCCAGATATAGTCACATAGAAATTTTGGGAAGGCACAATGCAATTCAAAACAGTTACGGCTAGCTACCAGGCACTTGGGAAGACCCAATGGACTGGATATAAAATGTAGAAAATGTTGAGAATATGAATAAAATGCTTTAACAGTTCAAAGAGAAATAACTCAAGAGATGATAATTTAGTTGGGCCTTGCCCAGCTGTGTGTCTCAGTGGTTGAGCAGTGACCCATGAGCCAGGATGTCATAGTTCTATATCCAGTCAGGTTGCTGACTCAATCCTCAGTAGAGGGTGTGCAGGAGGCAGCCGGTCAATGATTCTCATCATTGATGTTCTTATCCCTCCCGTCCTCTCTCTGCAATCAATTAAAAATAAATAAATGAACTGGGCCTTAAGTGAATTGGATCATGTCTATTTTCGGTAGAAAAAAACAGTATATAAGGCAATTTTATGTATTTGGGGAAATAGCCAATCAGTATTGCCAATTCAGGAGGCACATTGAGATTACACAAAAGATTAGAACCAGGTTGTAGAAGGACTTGGATGCCAAGGGTGAGATTAAGGAGCCAATTTTGAGCAGAGGGTGTGAGATGATCAAATAAGTGTTTTAGGAAGATTCATCACTTGCGCCATCGTCTTTGTTCAGGCTCTGTTATCTTTGCAACTAGCTTTGTGATAGGTCTCCTATTTTCAGTCATTCCTTTCTCAAATATATCCCTCCTTCAATCTAATCTCCATAATATTGTGGCTTTATACTGTTATCTTCAAAATTTTAGAATCTGAACCATGCATCTAATTTTAGGCTTATATAACTAGGTCAAAAATACTTAACATGGCAGTCAGTCCCAAAGTGCCTCTCTCTAGTTATATCTCTTACCACTGTCCTTATTCATGCATGTTTCTCTCCCCCAAACCCTTACCTCCTCCAATGTACATTTGATCTCTGTTGTCCAACCACATAGGCCTACTTTCTCTGAACACATTATGCTCTTTGTTATTTCCATGCTTTTTTTCTACCCTGAAATCCTTTTTTCCTGACCCTGTCTGAGATCTAGTTCATATATCACCTGAACAAAACCAACTCAGTGTTCCTTCCCAGAATGTTTAAGTCTTAGTATTTCTGATAGGAATACTTATTCGTTTATACACAGTTGATTTTGAGTTATATGATAATAAGGTACAAACTAAATAGACTATTGTCTAGCATTAGTTATGGTTCCTCTTGCAACATGCCCAGCTGCTCTCTGTCCCTGTGCCTGGGGGTGCTGGTTGTCAGAGGACTCTTGACAGTTGCAGGCAAGTCTTTGTTTCTGGCTTAGGGGGAACAGTGAGTACTGCTGTAAAAATGGGGTTTGAGGAACTAGGTCTGTCTAAAAAGAGCACATGGGATCTACTGGGTGCCTACAGGCAGAGGGTGTGGAAAGGAAACGTTAAATCTGAGATTATTTTTTTGGAGTACATTTGTATTTTACTGACTTGTAATAGACCTTTTCCCACCCCCACTGCCCATAAAACCTAAAAGCTGCCCAAAATAATAAAAGGAATTTACCAGAGGGTTAACCTTAGAAATATAGTATAATTATAGAGAGACAATACACATTTACTCTTTCCTACTACTAAATATGATTACTCTTTCAGTACTGAAATTGAGATTTTACCCCATAATTACAGGTAAGACAGAAAATGAAATTCCAAGATAAAGTACGTAAATAATTTTAAATAGTCAGTCTAAAATTAGAGATTCATGATATACTAGAATCTCTTCCTGTTTTGAGGAAGGTGAAAGATAGGAGAAGGTAGAGGCACTATAAAATTTGAAGAGTTCTTTTTGACATTTTGAAGCTGATTAGGGTTCCAGGTTCTATACAAAGATGTAGCCTATGGAGAACTAACCAGCTAAGCTGAAGTGTGTGTATTTCTGTGAACTTCAGTTGCAGTTTATTGTATACTAGAGGCCTGGTGCATGAAATTCGTGCGGGCGGGGTGGGGGGGACCCCTCAGCCCGGCCTGCACCCTCTTCAATCCGGGATCCGTCTCGAAATCTGGAACCACTGGCTCCTAACCGCTCACCTGCCTGCCTGCCTCTTCCCCCTAACGGCCTAACTGCTCTCCCCTCTTGGCCTGATTGCCCTAACTGCCTAAATGCTCCCCCCTGCTGGCCTGATCCCCCTAACTGCCCTCCCCTCCTGACCTGATCGCCCTAACTGCCTAACTGCTCTCTCCTGCCAGCCTGATCCCCCTAACTGCCTATCTGCTCTCCCCTCCTGCCCTGATCCCCCTAACTGCCTAACTGCTCTCCCTTTCTCTCTGTGCCCTTCGGACCCCTGGCCCAGGCCAGGCGTACTGAGAGCTCTCCACCTTGGCCCCACCCCCATCCTGATTAGTCGTTATGTGCCAGCGTCCCGGCCAATTTGCATATTCCTCTATTAGTATAGATAAGCTACCAAGGACATTTTCTTGGTTGAATTTGTGAGAGAGGGTATGTGATTAGGGCTAGGCATCAGGTAGGTAGTAATTCTTTATGAGACACATTTAATGGCAGTACTTTTGTACCTACATTAACCTTCCATTGCTGTTAGTCTGTGAGGGTCGTCCAGGCTTTCTTTTAGACCAACAGTTTACAACCGGTGTACTGCAAGAATTTTTAAAACATGACTATTTAGTCAGGGGCACTGACTTCTTTTCCCTTAGGTTGCCAAATAAAAAAATGACAACAGCTAACACAATAATAGTTGTTTGGGGTAAATGAATCAAAATTATACCTGTTTGTATGGTTTTTTTTGTTTTTGTTTTTTTGTCACATAGGCATAATATCTATTTTTTGGTGTGCCTCAGAATTAGTTTATTTGTACCATGAGATGGAAAGGGTTGAAAATCGCTGCTCTAGACCTCTAGTTGTCTTGAGAGCTCTAGCATTTTTTCCACTATAATGAAATGTGTGCCTAGTGGGTTTATAGTTCTCTTCCTTCATTCCACACTGCCCCCTGGTGGTCAGCACACGTCATAGTGAGTGATTGAACTCCTGGTTGAACTCCCAAGGGGACACTTTGCATATTAGCCTTTTATATATATAGTTTATTTTTCTAAATATATTTTTATTAATTTCAGAGAGGGAGAGAGAAACCAATGATGAGAGAGAATCACTGATTGGCTGCCTCCTGCATGTCCCACACTGGCGATCAAGCCCACAACACAGGCATGTACCCTGACCGGGAATCGAACCATGACCTCCTGGTTCAAAGATCACTGCTCAACTACTGGGCCACACTGGCCAGGCTAAAAGGTTAAGTTTTAAACATAATACAAGTATAACATAATACAAGTAATACAATTAATAATAATCCTAAATATCATCAAATACCCTGTGAGTCACAATAGAACTATTGATCTGCCCACTCCTAAATCTTTTCTTCCCTCAGCCTCTTCCTCATCGTTAATTAATGTTAAAACATCCATTCAGTTGCTCAGGCCTCAAACTTAAAAGATATCCCATCTTCTTTTCTCACCCACTACCCTTACCAATTCAGCAGCAAGTTTTATCAGCTCTAGTTTCAAAATAAACCCTAAATCCAGCTTCCTCTTCCTAAGTCTACTGCTCCCACTTTATCAAACTACCTTTATCTTGCCTAGACCACCATAGTATGCTAAATGGTCACCTTGTTTCCATTCCTCTCTCTAGTGCATTCTCTACATAACAGCCAAAGTTATCTTTTAAAAAATTAGTTGTTTATATCATCCCCTTGCCTAAAATTTTGTTACCTTTAGAACAGAATCCTTTATTGTTTCCGTGGTCTCTGGTCCTTCATTTTATTGTGCTCTGACCTTACCTTATATGACTTTCTCCCTTACTCACTCCTAGCTCACTTAACGTTCTTTTAGTTCTTCAAACACCCCAAAGTTTGTTCTTGTCTCATTATTTTTTTATTATTCCCCCAGATGCTCTTATAGTTGGCTCATTCATATTTAGGTCTCAGCTCAAATGCTTCATCCTCACAGTGGCCTTGATCTCCCTATCTAAGGTAGACCCTTCCACCCCACCCAGTCGCTCTTCATCCCTGTTACCTTAGTTTGTTTTCTGAAACCCCTTATCTGTGGTTTCATCCTGTGGTCAGCCACAGTCTGAAAATATTACATGGAAAATTCCAAAAAGAAACAATTCATAAGTTTTAAATTACACAACTTTCTGAGTAGCGTGCTGTCCTGCTCCATTCCACCCAGGACATGAATCAGTGAATCATCTCTTTGCTCCCTGTTCATTAGTCATTTAGTAGTTGTCTTGGTTATCAGATCTACTATCTTGATATTGCAGTGCTTGTATTCATTAATAATGGCCCAGAGTATAAGAGTAGTGATGCTGGCAATTCAGATATGTCAAGAAGAAGCCATATATAGCTTTCTTTAAGTGAAAAGGTATGCATGTATAAGGGAAAACACAGTATATAGAGGGTTTAATACTGTTCGTGATTTCAGACATCCACTGGGGATCTTGGAATATATCCCCAGTGAATAATGGGGGACTACTTTATTGAAATTATCTTGCCTGTCTCCGAGAATTTTTCTCCATAAACGCAAGGAGTTTTTCTGTTTTATTTACCACGATAGCCCTGGTATTTAGAATGATGTCTGACATAAATTAGATATTAGTGAATACTTTTTAATGAACAGTGAGTTAATAAATGAGTGAACTCTGTGGTACTGTCTCTAATTACATATGTTTTTAGAAGATTATTGAGGTCTCTCAGTCAAGGAAAGCTTTATCTAAAGGGTATAACTTAAATGTTGGCTCAGAAGATCGGTTTGATTTTAAAAGAGGCTCTTTTTTTTTAATAGTCAAGTTATAGGAGATAAAGCTAACAAGGTAGGTCCCTCTCTGCTACTTACCTATTTTTTGACTCTAGTGCTAACCATCATTTGTTTGGAATTTGCCGTTTACTGACATGATACATCCTGCACTGTACATAACGCATTATTTAAAGTTGCTTAGTGAATATGTTGAGATTAACCCCTAAGAATTCCAGTGTACAGAGAATGATGATGCTATTGACAAAAATAGAAACATGCAAGAAGAGGGGATAAGATAGTGAAGTTGTTTTTAGACCTGGTGTTGGCCTGTGTTTTATTAGTCGAAATTATGAGCCTTCTAAAAGCAGTTTTATTTCTAGATTGAAACTAGAAAAGATCATTAAATTACTAATGAAAGATAAGTGGTCTAAGTGGTTATTATAATTGGGAACAACCTAAATGTTCATTAATGGGGAAGTGGTCAGAAAAGTTGTGCTACCTGCACAGGATAAAATAATTATTAATAACAAGGGCAAAATGCTCATGGTATAATATCATGAAGTTGGACTTTAAACTGTTACATAGTATCTCAGTTTTATAAAAATATAGATATTTATAGGAAAAAACTGAAGGGACATGTTAAAATATTGATAATGGTTAACTGAGAGATTTTAACTTTAAATTTTTTTTCTAATTTGTGTAATGCTTTAATGCTAGTAAAAATCTACACTAATAAAAGAGAAACATGGTAATTGGCGTACGACCGCTACCCTTCCCATTGGCTAATCAGTGTATCCTTATGCAAATTAACTGTCAGCCAAGATGGCGGCCGGCAGCCAGGCAGCTGGAAGCGAACATGAGGCTTGCTTGCTCCAGGAACTGCAGACTCCAACGTTCCCCGCCTCACTTGCCGGCCTCTCAACTGCAACTCTAAGCAACTATTACTATGTTGCAAATAAGAAGCTAAACAAAACTGGCTTTCAGTCAGCCCCGGACCACAACATTGTATCCATGTTTTCAGCAGCGAGGCCTCAGAGCTAAAGCTGGCCCAGATAAAAAAAAAAAAAGAAAACAAGGAGCGCTGTAGCTTCAGTTACTCGCCAGCCGAAAACAGCCTCAGCC